AAGGTTTTTTTGGCCGATACTTATAGTCGATTATTAACCAGCCATATTGGCTGATACGATCTGATAGCTGATACGGAGCCCAGCTGCTTGGATAGCAGTGTCTGCCCAGTAAGTCTGTGAGAGGGATGGGGCGTGGAGGGTTCAGATCGAGGCCCCCATGGTGAGGGAGGAAACGAGGCTAGGGCAGGAACAGGTTCTGCCCTGCTGGGGCAGGGTGCAGGACAGAGCCATGGTTGGCTCATCTTGGGGGGGGGGTGGGCGGGGGGCTCCCTGCCACTGCATGCACCCCCAGCAGAGGCATGGGGGCGTGTGCCCCCTGAATGTGTGTGTTGGGTGAGGGCAGGCTGCCTGCTGCAGGCTCGGGGCAAGTGGTTATGCCAGCTTCTTCCCAGTTGGGGGGAAGGAAGGGCGAAAGCTGGGTTGGGGTGGCGCTGAGAGGGGTGGCTACAGGGTGGCCTATGGCCACCCTAAAATTCACTGTAGTTCTTCCTCCAGCACCGCCACCACCCGCCCCACCCCTGAACACCCCAAGCACAGCCCTGGCCCTGCCCCTTGCTGGAAAAAGGCTGGCATTCCCTGGGGGTGCATGCAGCAGCAGAGACTCTCCCAGCCCCCCCATGGATTAGCCACCCATGGCTCTATCCCATGCCCCGGTCTGGCTGGGCAGTGCCTATTCCTGCCCCACTCCCTCCCTCACTGTGGGGGCCTCAATCTGCTTCCCCCACACTCCCCCCCCAGACTTATCAACTGGAAACTGCTCTCCAAGCTGCCTGGCTGCATGCATTCTGTGGCTGCACGCAGCATTTATCAGTGACATTGTCAGCTACACTGGCCAAAAAAAGACTCCTGCTGATAATGCCAAGTTTCCTTTTATCGGTGCTGATCCAATATGGGCTGATATCAGTGCATCTCTGGTGTTTAGTTTTAACTATGAAATTTTTAGGTTTCACAAAAAAAGAAATCTGCCTAATCTTCGTGAATAACTGCATCAAGAAGGTGTCTAGTAGGGCTGAGTGAAGCTTCAGTCAATGATTTGATTCGGCAGAGATTTGGCCTGATTTGGTGCCCGAATCTCCAAATTGGAATAGAATCAAGAGACCCTTTAATCTCTTTGAATCGAATCGGAACCCTCTGAATTGATTTGGAGAGATTTGGAAAGATTTGATAATTTGGACATAGATACAGCTTTAAATGTTTTTTCTGCATACCTCAAGGTAACAGGCGACTCTTGAATGCTGAGATGCTGGGGCAGATGGAGTGTCCGACAGGAGCATGAAGGGGTCCTGTGACAGGTCACTTTCCCCAACGCCATCTTTTTTATTATCCACGCCTCACGTGGGGCGCCCTTGGGGCCTGTTTTGTAATTCTTCAGCCCCTCCCTAATCTCTCCTGCCACACCTTGATGGAATATTATTTTTTTTGAGCGGGAGATACCCAGAATAGGCAATGTTGGGGTCTTGCCTATTATGGCTTAACTCCTGTTTCCTCTGGCTAGGCCTCCCATCTGAACCCACTAAACACGGTTGGACTCCGAAGCTCTAGCTTTTCCTGCCCCCTTATGGAGCACAGCACTTCCTGGCCCCGCGGCACAGGAGCTGGACCCACAACCAGTGGGCCGCGGGTTCAAGACCTGGGCGCAACCCGAACCCACCTCTGTCAGTCCAAACAAAAAAAACAAAACAAAAGACAAACCACAACCGCGCTATCAGTGCACCAGGCCTCCCTGGCCTTTTTAAAATAGTCCTTCAAATACCGGGGTCTGTGTCCCCCAAAACTGCGCCCTCACTGGTGCCAGGTACTCACTCTGAAGAGGGTCCCGAGAATGAGGCCTCCTCTGATCCCTAATAGCTTCTCCCAAACCACCGGTCTTATTCAATTATCACACAAAAATAATAATAATAATAATAACTGTATGTGCTTAATCAATGCAGTATCAGCTTACATGAACTCTCTTTGAGTCTCGGGTCCGCACCGTTGGCTACAGTCTTGGTTGTGGATGCAGTGGTCACCTTGCAGGGCTTCCGTAGCTTCCCCCTGCCTGATGAGGACCACTGCCCAAGCTTCTTCCTGGAGCTGTCAGGGGACTGCTTCCGCTTCAGCTGCTGACCTCCCTACTGCCATTCCACCCAGGGTTTTTATAGTCCTGCCTCTTCCAGTCAGCTGACTAGCCGTCCCGGTTCAGCAATTAACCCCTTCCTCACCAGCCCTCCGTGCCCAGAAGGTTCTGGCCTTATAGGGGCACACATTTTTCCTCATGACAAGGTTTGGGTTCCCTGTCGCAGGTCCCCAGCACTCTCAGCAGCAGACCTGGAAGTGGACCAGAAGCACTTCTGGTCCACTTCTGGGTCCACTGGGGAGTGTGCAGGGCCCCTCCCCCCCCCAGTCAGCAACTCATGCCTCTTGGGTCTGGGGGGGCACCCAGCGTTCCCCTGCAGCTGATCACCAAGCTGGGGAGGTGCGGGGCAGGGGTCCCCAGTGCACTCAGCGGTGGACCCAGAAGTGGACTGGAAGAAGTTCCGGTCCACTTCCAGATTTGCTGCCAAGCACATGGGGGGGGCCCTCTGCACTCCTCTGGGATGCTCCATCTGCCCCACCATTGCAGCGTTCATGAGCCACACCTGGTATCCTGACACGTAGAAACAGCATTTAAAGCTGTCTGTGGCCAAATCGTTGATTCTCTGAGTCAGTATCAAATCTTCAGATTCGGATTTGGCTGAATTGAATTGGGACAGCGATCCAAATCAACAAATTGAATCACTGTCCCCAATTTGGGCCGAATCCAATCCTGAATCAAAAATGGCCCGTTTCGTGCACCCCTAGTGTCTAGTAGGGCTATGCGAAATTTTGCCAGGTGTTTCATTTTGAAGCTGTTTCAACACGTTACAAGCTCAAAATAGCGAAATTGAAACGAAACAAAAGGCTTCAAAACAGCTTTGAAATGAAATTAAACTTTCAAAACATTTTGGGTTTCAAAGCTGGGCTTGCTTGCAGCTAAACAGAAACTAAGGAGAGGGAGGGGAAAGAGGGGGGAAGGACTGCTCTGATATTGACGTCTAGCTCCCTGTTCGATTCCCCACCTCTCTGATCATTTCTTCAGCTCTTCCCGAAGCGTGCACGCAGGTTGGGGGCCTGTACCCCCAGGAAGAGCTGGGGGAAGCAATGGAGAGCTGGGGAATTGAACGGGGAGCTGAGGGAATATTCAGGTCCCTAAACATTCCTCCAGTTCCTGGTTGGATTCCCTAGCTCCCCCATCTTTCTCCCAGCTCTCTGATCACTTCTCCCAGCTCTTCTTGGGGGGCATGGGCCCCTGGATGATACAGGATGAAAGCAGGCTGCCGCTGCCAGCTGGTGATGGTGGTGGTTCTGAGCTATTTTCCCATCGTGCAGCAGCAACCTGCTGAAACCCCGTGCACAGATCTGGGGGTGTGTGCCCCCGGGGAGGGTTGCAGGGCTGTGCTGGGGTGACGGCAGGCTGCCGCTTCTAGCAGGTGATAAGAGTTTTGTTTTGAACAGTTTGAGGTGCAGTTTCCCAGAAACCCCTGCACCCATCTCCTCGTAACTTAGCAGACTTCATGCCCTCAGAAGGGGCTACCATCTCTGAAATTTTCATCTGAATGAGGCAAGAAATGATAAAGTTATAGGCATTTTCATGATTCCCCATTAGAGCTATTGGTGAAATGTCGAAACGCGTTGAAACAGCATCAAAACAGTGAAACAGTTTAGACAAAAGGAATAGTGTTTTGACAGCAAAACAAAACACTTGCTTTGAAATGGCAAAACTGAAGTCGAAACAAAATGGTGCTGTTTCGCACAGCCCTGTCTAGCATTCCTGCTTTTGCAAAAAGACATTGCTAAACACTCTGAAGGGGTTGTTTGGTATAGGACAAATATGCAGTAGTTACGCAATTACATATTTGTCCTTGCACAGAATAGCTAGGGACATGAAAAATAAGTAATCGCTCTTAAAGGTTAAATATGTTTCAAAAGAAGTGAAGTAAAGATGCAACATTATTCTCTTTGATACAATCCTATTACAGCAGCTAATTTTAGTGGTATTGCTCACTGTAGATTGCATGCAGTAGTTCTGTGTTCACAGATCTCTATGCCCTCTTATTATTGTGACCATATCTTTCACCAGATGATAAAATATTTTACCCAAATGGTAGATAATCTATGGCTCTAACCTTGGTGAAAAGTTTTTTCCTCTTGGAAGGATGTCTATTCTTATGCTGTGAGGAAGATGTTAGTTGGAAAGACTGCATAAATACAGTTCTGGCATTTAAAATACTGTAATCCTCTAAGCTGTTTAAGGTACTGAGGGGAGATGGGTAGTAGCTTTCAACGTGTGACATGATTTGGAAGTCCCTGGTGTTTTATAGAGCAGTGATAGTCTGATAAAGTAGAGCATCTGATTCTTCAACAGAAGAAATTAAAATGACCTGGCTTAATTAAATTTCTATTTATGTACCACAGTGTGCTTCCTGGCTAGGAAGTTTTGCTATATATTCTCTTTTTGGGGGGTGGTAGGGAAGTGGCAGGAAGACTCACCTTTGTTAATTCTGCTCTTTGCACTTCCTGAGGCTAAGATACTTTAAAGATATTTTTCCAAGAGGTTATGATTCTTTTTGCAGGACTGGCAGAAAAATCTATGAAGCTGCTTAGTTTTTAAGGGTTCTAGTATACAGACGACGACTCAGTCTCTTATTAACTTATTAGGCTGTGATTCTGGATTTTCTGTACAGTATGCTTTGTCACTTAGGAAAGTATTAGTAAAATCTCTTATTTTGAAAAGAATGGTGGCACTTTTTGTTTAATTGTGCTGCTTCTTAGTTAGAAACTGAATGTTCAGGAAGTAGAAAGATAAATATCTTTATCTTTAGATGTGAATGTTTGCTCAAATCAAGATATTTTCTGTCATCCATGAGTGTGTTAATATTGTGGTCCTGTTACCTTTTCCTCACTTACCTTTCTCTCTACCTCTTGCAATCTTTTCTGCACAGCTTGCTCACTTCAGACAACGAAAAACAAAAAGTGAGAACACGCAGTCGCAGAAGAAGGCGGCGAAGAGGAAGGGTTCGTCTATCCACACGCATGACGTTCCAAAGGAAGAGTGCACGTTAGTGGCCCAGGTCTCTGATTTTCTCTCAGACCTTGGTATGAATATGGAGAGTCAGACTGAAGACCCTGACGTATCAGAGGCAAGCTTTGAAGCTAAGGTAAATCTTCTTAAAAGCCCTTGCATTTAATTTAAACCTGTGTGCAACTGACAGATTATATTTGTTTGATTGACTAACATAAGAATTGTATTTCCTATTTCTAGCTCCTTTAAGTAGCTGGTAGCTGAAAGAGACAAGTAAACTGGTGTCCTTCTTGCTAGTGGTAAATAGTACAGTGATTAATATTTGTATAAATAGTTTTTCTTTCTTTCTTTCTTTCTTTCTTTCTTTCTTTTTTGGTCAAAATGGAGTTCAGCCGAGGCTCTTAATTATGTGGCGTATACTGGAGTTTACTCTGCTACCAAGAGCTATGTCTAGTATTTAAAAAAAAAAAAAAAAAAAAGGAA